CGAGAAATGCGTATGCGGGCCAAGGCAGTAAAAGCTTCGTTTCCTCATGTTTCAAATTATGCGTTTCGTAATGGCGCGTTTTCGTGTGCTCAGCGCACACGAGGAAAAGAGCGAATGCGACTGCGACGGCGTAGTAAAAAAAATCGTTATCTCTATACGCGTATCCATCACGTTACGAATTTTTTTCTCGATATACAATCACCGACACAAACGTATAGCTACGATCGTGTGGGGGCGGATGGGTGCTCGCACGCAGACACGCGCGATCGGTATATCCACTGGCGGTTGGTCCCCTTAACATATCGGCCAGGCGACCTACTGCACGTGTCCCGATTCCCCTCTCAAGGTGAATGACGAGCAATGAGTTATCGGACTTCGAGCTCAGGCATTTCTTCGCTCTGTTAGGCGCTTTTGCCGCATTACCTGGGCGCGTGCGCGCGCGACTTCTAATCCGCGACACACTTGTGCCCGTATATTATTCATCGACCGCTCGAACACAGTCATATCGCAAAGCACATTGAGAAATCGCGGCGAAAATCGGAAAATCGACGATGGTATTTCTTCCTCGTGTTTTCTTTCATTAATATTTATTATTATCGGTTACGATTAAACCGTTTCACAGTCGACGTCAAACGTTTCAATTATGCAAATTAACTGTAATAAATAAAGGGATTTGTATTTCATGTAAATCATAAAACCGACATTCCAGTTCTTTTTATATATTTAAGAGAATCTTAAAGAGATTTAAAACTATAAAAAATAAAAGAAATCCTTTTAAAAGATATATAAATAAAACGTTCCTGCACATGCAAATTTTCCATAATGGTTCTTTCAAATTTTTAATTAGTATACCGTCTTCTACGAAATTCCACAAGATAAACTATAGTTTTTATATATAGAAATTAAAAAAACTAGGAGCATAGATCACGTATTATAATTTCTATGGAAGGTAGTATTTAATTGAATCGGGATATGTAGGTCATATTCACGACTTGTTTGTGTACGAGCTAATTATTCTCGGCGACGTACAGTCAAATCAACGATGTTAAGTTTACTGATAAACGCCTTACACCGTACGCCGCGGTGGCGGCGTTCACCTGTTCGTTAGTACGCAGTCGTGTGATGATGTCTACTAATATATAAATCTGACGAAATGCCGAATTTTTGTGTATCTAAAAAAGTAAAAAAATGTCGAAATAATATCTTGTCAGTGAACATCAAATGATAAAAGTAGAATCTTGTTAAAAAATTATATGAAATATACCTTTACTAAAATCTGATCAATCCGATTAATTAGTGTTTACATATATTAAAATATATGCAATATTTTAAAGATATTTCATCAGCGAAGATGTATCAGGAATTTCTATAATTTACAAATTTATATTACACTCTTGGTGCAATTATATAGCGTAGCATTATATCGACGTTACTTTATCATGAGAGGTTATGATAGTACACGATATTCTTCGAAAATTCATAATTATCTTTTTTTCTTGATTTTCTACAAAAGGCATTTTGGCATGATTAAGAAGTCACGATGAGAAGGAAAGCGATATGTCGTGTATAAATATATAAATGTTGAGACAAGGTACGCGCGGAGATGATAGCTGAACGACAGCATGACGACACCCGCCATTTCTCTCGGATAGTATGCAGATCTATTTTTGAGTGGTGGTTAAAATAGCTGAGCTTAAACTTCTGCTAGACACTGTCGGAGTTACCACGTCGGAAAGGAATTAGGTCAGACTTGAACGACAAAATAAGTATCAGCGAAGTAGTTTCAGATAGCGCTGATAGATAACAAAAAAATGAGTAAAATCGATTATTAATGGCAACCTCGATAATTCTTATCTACCGTAGGGAAGATACTTGTCCAGAAATAATGTCTTAAGGGTGATGATTATATATTTTTAAGTAAGAATATTCGTGTCTTTTTTTTCACGCGCTATTACAGTTATACTTTTGGTAATTTGATAATTGTGGTAAAGCAAGTATTTTCGTCTTTTAACACTTCAAAAGTTACTATAAAAATAAAAAATTATATTTTTCATATGAAATATATGTATGTACTTAATAGCTGCGCATGCAGCCTTCAAAAAAATAATTTTTTAACAATTTAATAAAGATAGTTTGTGTGAACTAATTTCGACTCCCTTTATTTAACTGTTTTATTTTGTTATCCTTAAAATTGTTACGGACAATTATTAATATCTCGAATGAAACGTAAAAAGATTTGTCACAAAGAGTGTACAATAAATAAAAGTGATAATGATAATATAAATGAATTTTATTCAATAAGAGTACAATATCAAAAGTATTTCGTAATAATGCTGTATTAAATTTATTTAAATTAAGCTTCATAATCATGCAAAATCAGAATAATATTAACGAGACTATTTATTCATTTGCCAACTGTACCGCAAAATATATATAATTCTAGTTTTTAAGATCAATATCGTATTAAATCTGATATAACATCATTGTACGCCGGACGTGAAAATGGAGCGAAGGTGGAAAAATATATAATCGAGGAAAACGCTGACCTGTATTTTCACCGTGCGCGCCATTTATTCCATTATCTATTCCTTTTCTATTTCTATATATACTCGCTATTCAGTGATGGCACATGTGCAGAACGTAACGTGCTACGAAGATTACACTGAAAAGTGAAAGACTCCCAGAACACTTTCGATATACGGCTTCGACCTGTGAGTTTCCTTAGCACCTAGTGTACGTTAGGTATCGTTATCACATATAGGTAGATATGCGAAATGACGAGAATGCCGTGCAGCGAGAGATAACCTGGATTCTACTACGTAAAATTCCCGTGGAAAACGCGCGTCATCGATACCATTGTGCTATTAGAGACCCTATTATCAGAATCTGATTACGAAGGATTTTGTAAAATCCTTCGAAAGATACATAGAATTTCTCCCTGTACGGTGTACACACACACACATATATATATATTACTTACTCTACCTTATACTGTCTTACTCTTTAATCTTAATTGAAGTTGTATAGAGTGAAATTGTACAAGTTAAAGAGAGATAATATATTTTATAATGAGATAGTATAAATATACTATCTTCCTTGTAAATACAAGGAAACAATTTATATACATATATATATCGTAGAATTTTGATAAAATCGCTCGTGATCAGACTCTATTACACTGTGTGTTATAGAAAAGTTATATTTAAATTGAAGAAATCGCGTTTCTTTCGTTAATTGTTTTAAGTTGAAGTGAAAATAAGAGGAAAATAAAAATTTACTTTCAAGAAATAATAATAACTTTATTGCGAACATGACTAACAATATCAAACTACATACAATATATGTAAATGACATACAAGATAGTAATAATCATATAAAGATAAATGACGTTCAAATCAAAGAAATTTTTCTTTAATAATGTACAAATTTCTTTGTACATTTCAAATCTTTTTTTAATCAAAGCAACTTTTTTCTTTAAGCCAGATCTACATAGACTGCAAAACGTGGCGCAGATCGCAAAATTAGATGACACGTGATGTATTTCAGATTGTAACAGAGGCTGCAGGATGTAGAACGCAGGACGCACTAAAGTTGGAGAAACTACAATTTTCACGTCCTGCAGCTAGAAATACGTCACGCTGTTTCATCTTGAGACCTGCGATTCGCATTTTGCGTTCTATGTAGATCCGGCTTTATAGGATCTCTACGCGGTATGATCGCGGCTCGCTGCGTACATTTACGACCTAGCTAGGTCTGCTACGACATTATCGCGTCGTTAAAAACGACGATGTCACGCCGCACGGCCGTACGACTACCGAAACAGCCGTTGTACCGGTTAAATTTAAATATACGAAGTCTCTCTCTCTCTCTTGTTCTTGGGACGCAGTTGCATAACCTGAGGTGACACGAGTAACGCATACGATACCGAAAGAACGCGAAACTGCGGAAGTCGGAGCGTAGCGCGTACCTTCCACAATGGCTTACGAGACCGCATGATTGCCGGCGCAGTTTTACAAGCGAGTACCCTTGGCTATACTACCTGCTTCAACAGCGATCGATAACGCGATGCCACTCGGCTGTGAAAAAAAGTCGAGGCAACGAGTCCGTGCCATCGGTGCCCGCGAGTCGAGTAAAACAACAAACAGCGGTCGTCCCTTCTTTTACCCGCGATCTGTGCAACCAATCGACGCGAAAAGAGTGTAGAGAAGAGAACGCAATCTAGCTGACGGTTGTGTGAGCGTAATTATCAGCACGTTGCTAATAACGTGATATTTTTATACGAAAACGAATTGCTAATTCACTCGATAATGATAACAGCAGCGGTGTTGATTTTACTTATCCATTAACCAATCAGAGGTGATCGATTTTTCACGTGAATAAAATAGAAAATCGGTTAGTTAAAAATCTCTCTCGGAAAACCTGGCATTCAACCAAACGGTGCTGTTGGTCTTCACAAAAGTGCTTCATTCTAACAGCGTGATTCATTCCGGAAATAAATAAATCGAAGCGTCCGATGCGGTAATGCTCCAGTTTACTTGTTTGAAATTTGAGGATCAATTTTAAAGTTTAAAAAATCAGATATCCCACAAATTAAATTAAATCTCAATCCTCGCATTCGTTTTCTAAAGTTTGTAGAAAAGTAGGTTAGCATAACTTCCACGCGCGAGTCCAGCTTCCTAAATTTCACGTAGATCAATATTCATCTCGGATCTTGTATTTAAGGCCGTCTTAAGATGCCATAAGACGATCAGAGTTATCAGCATTTTAAGATATTATTTAAAACAATCTTGAAATAAGAATCGACTATATAGTAATGTGAACACTTATAGGATAGTGTGTTCAGAAAATTCATCCGGATGCATTCAAAAGTAATATCATTTGATCCTTGTTTAACATTCGATGAACCAAAAAAAAACAAGGATAAAACGATACCTGAATATACCCGACTGAAGTTTCTAAATGCGGTCAGCCGTAGAACTTTTGGAAACTAGGAGACTTACTTGCTGGAACGGTGGCAGCTGCAGCAGATCTCTCTCCTCGGCGGCGGTTACCTCGAAGGTTGGTGCTGGTTGAGGTGGATATATGTTGCCTTTGCCGGGATACGACGTGCTCCGACGGAACTTGACCGGGCTGATGCAGGAGGGATGCGCCGCTGCCGGGCCCGGATGACCCGGAAACGTCGGACTCGGCTTGCGACCCTGCAGACCAGCTGCGGCCGCAACCGCTGCGGCGGCGTGTAAAGACGAGTGCAGCGGTGGTAGATTGGGTACGGATCTACCGCGGTTCCAGGGAGACAGGCCCGGACTGGCGACTGCGGCAGCAGCGGTCGTCTGCGGGCCCGCGCCCCATTGTTGCGGGGCCTGCGGTCCGCCCGACCACGCGGCGTATCCTTTACCGGGTAGATAAACGCTTGGGTGTGATGTTGGCGGAGGTTGCTGCTGCTGCTGCTGCTGTTGGTGCTGCTGTTGTTGTTGCTGCTGTTGCTGTTGTTGCTGCTGTTGCGCGGACGACACCTGTAAACCGCCGTGTCTGGTGCCGGTGGGCGCACCCGCGTTACCGTGCTGTTGTTGTTGTTGCTGCGGAAAGTTATGACTAGCCGTGATGGCACGTCGCGTGCCAGTCGAAACCGCGGCGGCGGCGGCGGCGGCGGCGGCGGCAACCATTGACCGGTAACGCGGTGTGCAGACCGCTATCATCGGGCGCGGACCAGAGACTGGGTACACGGCCACCGGGATCAGCGAAGCCCTGCAAAACTGATGTCGTACTGCACGTAATGTCTTTCTCCGTCGACGAGGGCGTCGTCGGAGTGATGGCGATGTTTTCCGCCTCGATCACGTCCTTTGACTTGTCTTGTCCGGCCACGGTGTCGAGGCCACCGCTCGGCGAGAGCGGAGCGGGCTTACCGGTAGTTTGCTTCTCGATCAGTAGATCGTCCTGCATCGTGGATGTCGTTATGGCGCTGCTGATGTTGCTTGTGGTCGTGCTAGGTTTCGGGCTGGTCAGGGTACACGAGAAGAGGCTCGTCGCGCTGTAATCCCCCATAAATCACCGCGGAGCTTATACGATCGCCGAGCGTCTTCGCGACGTTGACGACTGTCGCGATAACCAGCACCTACCAGCTAGGCCCCTTTGGAAACTTCCTCCTCGCGGCTCGAGGGTGTCGTTGTTGTCGAACGCAAGAGGACCGCTCGCGTCCTCCACGTAGTATTATAACTCGCCTGTTGTAACTCCCGTCCGGCACGAGCGTGCGGGACAAACTATCGATCCACGGCCGCACGCGTATAAACACCCACGGAGAGGAGCTCCGGAAACTGAAAGACCGTGATTCTCCTTGTCACGTTGACAACTCCTTCCTCGTTTTGTTTTTCGCTCTTCTCTATCTTCTTTCTGCCGTTCCCTCTCTCTGACTTTTACTCTTTTTCTTGTTTGATTTCCCACTTCTATATCTTCATGTCTCGATCTATTTTTCTCGGACTCAAGACATGTGTGTAATCTCGTTTCTCCCTCGTTCTTCGATCGCTCCACTCTCTCTCCTCAGGAAACGTTTCTCTAGATCCCACTAATGCCGCGTCGCCCCGGTACGATTCGGCAGCGACCCTGTCTCCGTAGCATCCTCTTGGTTGTCGGCGAGCCAAGCTCACTCGGTGACGCGCGTTGTCATTGTCATCGCGACAACGCTTCTACGCGAAGCGCTGCTCGAGTTGCAAAACTGCCTCCTTCCTAGTTGACTCCCTCGCGTTCGATCGCTCGCTCGCTCGCCCCGAATATCACTCTCGCCCGTCGTGTGCGCGGTCTCGTTCGCGGGCTATCCCCTGGCGAACATAATTTCGACCCACTCGGCGGGGATATACACTGCTGGACCACTTGGAATTCTCCCAAATACGTAGCGCAGCGAGCGCGACCTTTTGCTTGCTACTATCACACACGCGCGACTACGGATACGAGGTCGCTCCGCGGATCGTATCGCGGAGGTGGTGGCGGAGGCGTTGGAGGATAGGAAGAGGGCGGGAGGGAAGAACGTGTATATAGCGTATACGCGGTACGTTACACCACCCCACGGCCCGACGAAGCGAAACGGTTCACGTCTTTCGCGTGGCGATCGTCAGCGACTCCGCGACTCCGGCTGTCACACTCAACTCGCAGCTTGTCCCCGGCGGGGGTGGCGAGTGGCAAAGAAGGTGGCTGATTTCGAGGGTGATGACGATAGAGGGTCGCAGAGGCTGACAATCGTGCGCGCTACTCTCCCGATGACGACGTATCGCCGTCTCCGGTCGCCGATTGTATCCGCGCCGCGGCGAATCGTCTGTCGCACGCGCGCAACCGATCGATCACCGATAAGCTCCGTTTTACCGTACGTGCGAGGTACGCTCACGCTCGGCACGGACGGGGCTCGTCGATGTGGTTTATTGCACACGCGCGCACACACGCACCGTGAGCCTCGCGTGGACACTGTGACGAAACGTCGCGGCGGAGCGCGAGCCGAGAGGAACGTTACGGGATGGAGGG